AGTATAAGTTCTAGTTAGAAAGTAGACTCCCACGCCTTATAGAATAGGCGGAAGAAGTCGCTCTTATGCACCCCTAACAAGCCTTGGCTATTGTGAAGGTGCGATACAGCGGCGGCAGAGTACTGAGTAGCAAGAGGAGCAAACAGCACTACGTCGAGCGGCTGAAGCACAAGTGTAGCGTGTGGAGGAAAGATTAGTAGCAGAATCCGGTGGCAATCGCAGTAATTGATGAAAGCCATCGTCAAATGAGAGCTGTGGCCATCGACAATGAGCAATCGCCAGCTTCTGCGCGCTTTCTTCTTGGTGTAGCAGTCAAACAGCTGCTTAACCCACGCTAATCCTACTCTGTTGTTTGTCCAGCCTGAGGGAGTTGCAGTAACAAAGACGCTGTGTTTTCCTTCTTCTATATCCTCCACCCATGTACTCTGTATAGTGTTGTCGGCGCCCGTAAAAATGATGCCTGGAGGCAGAGCACTCCCATCAGCGCACACCCTTGCCAGCAGTGTCACCCACTCTCTGTTACTATCCTGTAGCGCTTGTGTAACCTTTCCTTGCTTAAATAAGTGCTTAGAGAACACGCAATTGCTCCTTCTAATAAGGCCTATAGCGAAGCCTTTCTTGTCCATATTGTACGTGTTGCAGGGCAGGATGTTGTATTTTTTAATTGCAGAGTACAGCGTATCAAAATAGCGCTTGTACTTATCCTCTAATGAGGCGTAGTGGCGCTGGCGATCTATAGCGTGGCTCTATTTGTATAGGAGAGTCTTAGTGTAATGGTGCAGGAAGTTAGACACCTAGGTGTTGTCAACGCTCTTGTGAGCAAGTTTAGACGCAAAATTTTGTATTATTTGCCTTGTAGGTGCTAGGTGACGCTCTGTAAGGTCTTCTATATAAGCAGTAAGCTTACATTCCTGTTCTATTATAAGTTTTTATAGTTGTTAATAGGCGTCTGCACGCAACGTGGTTACGCCTCTTGCTCTCTGCAATACTATTAATCGCGACACATTTATTATATTAGCAACTTCCTAGTACAAAAATAATCTGTCTAAGCTTACTGCATGTGCCTTTTTAATAGCTAGGGAAACAGAGTCTATTTAGTGGAGTTATGGTGTTGAGGATTTTGGGATGTTTTGGTGATCGCGTGCATGAGCCCGAGCCGTGCACGAGCCCGGCGGACACGGTAGTGTTAGCTACCAGGCTAAACTAGCCCTGTAGAACCTTAGGATCCTCACAGAGGGCTCTCTTGTAGTCGTACTTGCGATTAAACTTGACTATAAGCTCTAGGTGCCGCTTAACAAACCTACTGGGCCAGTTTGTGCCAATAGGGCCTAGATTGTGCTCAGCGCGCAAAGAATTAGCCACAGTAGCCACATCTGAGAGCCAAGGGGAAAATCCTCAGGCATCTAGCTCAAGAACATGTTTAACAATCTGTAACGGTCTAGACTCTAAAGCTAAAGAAGAGCTAGAGCTAGCCGGTTACATTAGCTTAGCCGGCTTGGCTTAAGCTAGATATATATTATCTACGCAGTTAACTAGACGTCTAGTTAACTTGTGCATGCTTTTTAGCAAAAGTTGTTAGGAAGTAGATATCCTTTATTGGCCTTTGGCCAGACTACTACACAATCACCCTCTCCTTATTGCTGTCCAGCTTCTGTAAGTTGGCCATAGAATCAGCGCGTGAAGGTTGTCCTGCGCGTCGTCTGCGTAGTGTAGATTTTAGAACCCTGTAAATAGCAGCAGCGCGTTGCAGGGATAGAGTTGTGTCTTGTTGAATAGCCTGGAGCGCAAGCTGCATCTGAGCTTCCTTTGACGCGTCTAACTGGTGTTGTTAAGGAGACATTAGTGTAGAAAGGGTGGTTTGGTGGGGGCTTGGCAAAAGTGGTCCACTCGTCTAGTGGTCCACTCGTCCGTGGGGTACGTTATATGGAAAATGATTAGAAGTGAGGCTACGTTGTGCTTGCTGCTGCTGCTCAAACACCCGCTGTGCCTCCTCTTGCTCCGCGTTGACCGTGTCCATATCCTCTTCATTACTGCTGCCTCCCTTGCCCTCCTCTTATGCTAGAAACGATCGAACTGTGGCGTTCTTCTAGAGCCTTCTAGCCTATATCACGTGCTATTCATTTTGGGCACACACTCTGGGCTTTCTGCGGCATGTCACGTGCGGCGGGCTATCCTCGCGTGGGGCTTCAGGCGCCCTAGTTGGGATCAATCCCTTGTGATGCCGAATCCCACATGGGCATGTACCCTAGTGCCGAAAGTTGCCGGTCATTTGCTTCGTGAGCACGTTGTGATGATATCTGTGTATTGCGCAAATCTGCATTATGTGCACAGACACAGTATTGCGCCGTAGTTCAAGATTGTGAATTAATGCTTGTACTGTGCTGTTATCAGACAAAGCTGTACCTTGCTAACTAGTTTGGATGTAGGATTCATTCATATCAGTAGAGACTTGACGTTGACTCATCACCGCTGACTCATCACCGCTGATATCTGTTTATTGCTGGACACAGATGTGCAATTTACGCTTGAGTCAGAGATGTGGTCTGCAGAGCCTTTTCGCTGTGTATAAATACCAGTTCGTGATAGATATGTTTGCGCCACACACACACTCACACACACAAGTCGAGCTACGAACCAAATTTAAGCACTTCTACGATTATGGGAAACGTGTACGACACCATCCGACTGCCCAAAGATACTGATGGTACGATTCTCAACGCCCTCGCTACCAAGTTCCGCGCATTCAAGCTCCATGCACTTAAAGTCGCCCCGGAAGCTTTTCCAGCAGAATTTGATAGCGAATCTCGACTTCCACAATCGATATGGCTTAGCATTATTACCAAACCAGACACGACGATCTTCATCTGCGTCGCGACTGCAAAAGACAAGGACAAGGAACCATCAATTTCTGGCGACAAGCAGTTAAGAACCTTGCTAGACGGCGAGTGGACAGGAACGTTTACCATCATTGGCCCAGTCTCGCGCGACGACTACATCTGGCCTAAGTCCGGTCAACCAGAACCAGGTCCCGAAGGATCAGAGACCCGTTGGCAACTTACAGGTCTTTTCACGCTGCCTGCGTATCGCGGCCATGGTATCGCGAAACGGCTTACCGAAGCAGCAATCAAATTTGGGAAACTTGCATCAGATGAGATGGGCAGTGCATCCGAGAGAGATCTTCGGACGCGTATTAGGCTTGTTGTACACCCTAACAATACAGGCGTTGTCAAGATGTATGAGAAATTTGGGTTCGTAGATAGCGCAAGGATGACAGTAGCAGAAGCCTGTATTGCCAATGGAGCTGCGGACATAGTACCTAGGTATGCTGATCCTAAAAAGTGGCATACTAGGGTTGGCATTGCTATGGAGATCTTGGTTTAGTCAAAAATTAGGTGTACGTACAGGGAAGTTGTCGAAGTTCGCACGTGGGCTAGCAAAACTTGGTTTCCAAAGCTCAAAGACGTCTTCAAAATAAGAGACTTTGTAACAGTTTAGGGGAGAAGCAGATCACGTGTTGTTAGCGGTGGTCTGGTGCTACTTCCTCATGTTGTTGAGCACCTCTTACCTCAGCTGCATCACAAACACGTCATCAAAACAGACCCCGCAGCGAGCCTTGGAGAGCAAAGATACAAGCAGGACAACAACACAGAACAACACAATACACTCGTTATATACATTTGCCCTTGATACAGCAACAAATCAAGCGCACGCTGAGATGCTTAACAGGACATACCCTGCTGCTTAAACATGACGTTGTTAACAAGCATGTCCAACTCAACAGCAAACTGCTCTTCTGTCCTTGTTGCCCAGAACAGCTCCTCCCACAGTATCTGCTCTGCCTTAGACACCATGTCCTGCGCCATCTTGCAGAAGCAGCTGATGTAGATCTGCTAGCTGTGCAAGTAGAAGATCTTCTTGTTCTTTAACTAGTGCGCTTTGCCTAAGTTGCCAGCTGCCAGCGCGACGTACTTGCCATAAGCCAGCAAGCTAAGCACCTCGCTCATCAGGCTGTACACACTGTTAGCCAGATACTTCTCTCTGTGCTCCAAGAAGCGCTCGCAGTCCTTGTTAGTCTACTTGTCATGGCACGCAGACAGGAGCAGCTTCTCCACGCTAAGCACGCGCATGTAGTACACCACGCCTGCTAGCATTTACAAGTAGTTCTTTGCTGTGCACAAGCAGTTTGTGTTGCTGTCAATGTCCAGCACAGCAAGAAAGTGAACAAGCCTGCTGCTGAACAGCTTGTCGCCTGTTATTGTGAAGAAGAAAGATGCAAGTAAGTTTAGCAGCACTTCGAGCTGATCGTCGCGCTGAGCGCTGCGCTGCGCTTTGTTGTCGCTGCCTGCATCGCTACCCAACATCGCCCACAACGCTACTACAAGCTCCTTCTGCTCGACTGTCTAGCAGAACAGCCCACGCGCGTCTTTCATCAAGTCCTTCTCTCCTTAGCCACTGCTTAGATAGTTTGCGGGTTAGCTACTGTCAGCATCAGAGAAGTTGTTGTCGTTGTTGTCTTTGTCCTCTTCCTCCTCTTCTTCTAAGCCATCCGTATCGCCCTCATCGTCTTCGTCACTGCCCTCATCACGGCCTTCCTGCGCTGTTATCCTTGCCTCTGTGTTGGCCACAAATCGCAGAGCGTAGCAGACAAACTTGACCATGTAGCCAGCATAGCAGGCCTGACTCTCTGGGTTCTGCAGTCAAGCTATAGGCCACTGATTGATCTCCAGTCGCTTCTCGCTCCTTAACCACCACCTTGTCTCTCGCGCGAGCGTCGACAGCCCTTGACGCTTCTCTCCACCAGCAGCTCTGTCAGCTTCGCCGCCTGTCGCAGCTTCTCCTCACCTCAGTCAGGCAGCCAGGTCTGATGAGTGAGATGCATCAGATTGCGGTTGGCGAAGTGCTCTAGCCAGCCTGTCTGCTTAAACCAGCCAGTCTTGTCAGTCTTCGCAACTTCAGCGTCCATAACCTGCGCTTGCTCTTTGTGTGCGTGCTTTGTTAGCTTCCACCCTGCAAGTCACTCACTAACAACGTTAATTACCTCACAGGGAATGCACAGCGTACTATTGCCGCTGTCTGCTGTATCCACAATGAAGTACTGCTAGAGCCTGCCAGCTTAGAAGAATGTTTGCGCCTTAACCTTCTTGCAGAGTGTAGCGTCCTCGCTGCTCTAAGCTGTCTAATATACGTTGTTACAGTGCTTCTTGTCCGCGCAGGGCAGCGCTTCTCATAGGCCAGCTCGCTTCTCGATTGGGTTAGGTCTCCCGCTTTCACGCACTGTAGATAATCGCTCCCTCAGGTAGACTCAATCGACAGTTCACATAGCCACACTCATCACTTCTATATTCTAATCTTGTTTGCAGTACAGAAGCAGCAGTTGGTAGTAATCCTGCATTCATAGACGTGTAACAGCTTGCCTAACTCCTTAATTGGCAGCCCTAACAGCGCAGGTAGCTCAACATCTTGCAGTGCAGCAATCTACCACTGCTAGCAGTGCTCTATAATAGACTTTCTCTCCTTGCTTACTACGCTGTGCTAGTTGCGCAGATGCACGTCAGTGTTCTGTATCCCTGTAGCATACTCCTTACTAGGCTGGCGTAGGCTGGCGGAATGGGTATACTTAGGCTGGCGGAATGGGTATACTCCAACGTCCTTCGTGGGTACCCCCCAAAACCTTATCAATAATACATGGATTCTAGCGAACTAGGGCTGAAAAGAAAGAGAAAAAC